ATAACAGCACACAAACTAGGTGTAACCTAAGTATGTAAATTGTTGAATATATTTTAATTGTAGAAGTAAATCATTGCCTAGCCACTAGGGCTCATAGTGGATGGAAGTGTAATACTTCCCCAAATGTGAAGCAGGTCCACCACAGGTTACTCCCAGCAGTTTGTTGGTACCCATTGATACAGCTGGATAGACTGCAGCAATGCAGATAAGGCCTACTGTCACGTTGTAAAAATTTGAATACAGGGGCGGGTGGAAAAAAGTTTTTTTTTTTTTTTTGTAAAATCATAGAAACATCGTGAAAGCTGTGCAATTGCCATTTTTTTCACGGAAAAACGATTATATTTTTGTTTTTAAAAAAAATTTAAAATAGTAAAAATTTCTATATAACACGAATCTGTGCCAAAATCGATGAAAAAGTGGTTTTCATTTGATCTTTTAAACTTAAAAAAAAAAACCTTTTTTGGAATACCCAAATATCAACTATCAAATATAGCTGCTATGTCAGTGAACCGGATGACGGCAAACAAACAAGTTTTTTTTTTAGGCCTAATGTGCCTTACTCAAGGTTACGAAAAGGTTGGGAAACCAAACCATTCCGACTGCGCCAAACCGCTTCCACATTTTAATTGTAATTTGTAAGTTTTTTTCATGTCATCAAAACCAGAGCATTTTGCAATGAGTGTGGTATACTAGATAACAAAAGTTTAAATAAATAAAAATTCATTGACATCATAGAGTACATAGGAATTTAAACACAAGTGAAGGGTTTACTCTGATTGGTTAGCAATGCTCATTTAGCTGAACTCATTTGTATCCTGGATGTTTCGTGACATGGAATTTGATTTTTCTAGCTCTGCAGCTGCGGGTGTTTTGCAGCCTGGACATGTCATAACCAAAGCATTTTAGCTTTCAAAGTGTCCGAGTTGTGAGGTATCCTGGTAGAGTCGCAGAAGTCTGGGATTCTGGAGGGTCCTGGTTACAAAATGTTGAGTTTTTCCATATATTAAGAATTAATGTTGTATAAATGTATTTATATCCATTTCTTTAAGTTGTACAGTTGTTAATCTAATGGTAGCCTTTTGCTGTTTTTCACTGCATTTACATTTGTTCATTTTAATTTTGTTATTTTTTTATTTTTTCCTACACGGATTTGTAGTTTTTTTGTGTGAAAATAAAGCACATTATTAATATTATTGTTGTTATGGTGACCGCCGTTGTGTGTGCACTGAACTGTGGAGATTCTTTAAGATCCTTCCTAGGTCCCTGCTTATTCACTTGTTCAGCTCTACTTGTGTTTCAGCTGGAGGTTTGCAACTTACCCCAGTACACCACACCATATTTCAGAAGAGATTCTATGTAAAAATATGACCATGTCCATGTTACAGATAGCAGTATATTCTTTAGAAAAGAATTGTCTTCTATTGTATTGTTCAATTCAGCAACAGAAGGACCCCACCGGAAGTAAGTTGCAAACTTTCAAAAAACCAAACCATTCTCCCCTATTATTCTGGAGTAGTCATTCGATTGGTTGGCCAATCGGAGAAGATATAACCACGACTTATAATATATGTATAATATCCAAAATATGCTGTTAGAATTAGTATTTATTATGGTTATCTTTGTTAATGTCATTGAAAATATTATTCTGTACATAACTAAATTTCTAAATTGGCAAGCAAAAATAAAAAGCAATAAGGTAATGTGCGTATCCAGTGGTATCCAAGGTCAATCTTGTGTGTATGCAGTGGTGGGTTGAGGTGGTTCGGTTCGGACGAACCCCCCTCTGTGAAGAAATGTAACAAAATACTACTGGGTCCTGGCTTACAAAATGTATGCTTACCTACCTACGCATAGGTAGGCAGATCGGACAAACTAAGCTTTGCCCAACAAAGCCTTCAATTAAATAAAATTAAAAACACTGTTTTTGGTAATAATTTATGTATGAAAGTGCATTCTTCAGGCCTATTAGTTTATCGATCGATGGAAGAAAGACTATGTATCCAACTACTCAATATGGTTGGAATATAAGAATATATTGCCTATGTCTTTGATTGTTTTTCTCTATGATAGGCCTAAGAATGAGATAAAATTACATGACCTTTTTCAAGAGGGGGAAACCTTTAATTTTGAAGAACTTAAAGGTTAATAAAGGACCCCTTTTTTAAAAAAATCTTGGATCCACCCCTGGTATGTTTGTTTATATTTATTGACCTTAATACAAGCATAAGCGGTTCAAACTGCGAATAGGCTTATTAGTATACAGTAGTTGCAAATCATATACTACATGGAAATGATTATACAAGATTGGATTAATGCATGAACAAATTTCCCCAAAGAAATATTTAAATGCATTAATCTAACCTAAGTATAATAACTTCCTCTAGAGTGTATATATGCAAATATAATAGTTGCTTTCTTTAATGTTAGTATTGTAAATATTAATGAAAATTGTTGTTGCAGTCATTAATTTCTATAGTGATATAATTAGTACATTAGCTCTGTGCATGCAAGTATATTAGCTTACATATGCAGATTTTTATTGCAGTGTTCACTATACTAAACAGAAGAAATATTTTACAATTAATAAATATTTGACCTGATGAACTTGCCATGAGTTTATTATTGTTTATCAACCTATTTAGACAACAATCGCCAAAGAAATAAAAACTTCATCAAGCTTTTGGACGAATAGTCACCTTTATTGGTTGGTCTAGACAAGTGAATTCGTTCCTTGAGGTATAAGTTCTCATTTGGGCATAATAATTAAATTTAAGTGACTTTTTGTCTAGTTTAAATTTACCTGTATGTATGTTTTGAATTTACATCAATGAAGATTGAGCGAGTGAGTGTCTTTTCACAGCCATGTTTCATAGTGCTTCTAAGTGTAAAAGTACTAGCTAGAATTTCCTTATGATACTTGATTACATACAAGTTTGTTCGACCTTTTGCACACCAAACTGCAAAAAAGTTGAAGCAAATCATGCATTAATGAAAAATTAGTTGGGATAGGAAAATATCACTGAAGATACAATTAACATTTGATTGACAGATAAACCGACTAATCAGCGAGCGTCATTTAGTCATGTGATCAAAAACTTTTTCTCAGACATTTTAATTTCCTTTGACAGCTGGTACGCGAGACATATGTGAGCCTAGGCCTAGATGTCTATGCTTGGTTATAGATACCCAGTGTGCATCAGTAGCCATCAGTGACTTGGCCTTTGCCGACAACAAGGTTGACTGAATGCGACTTTTCCCTCTTCCTTTGGAAGTGAAATACATAAGCTTTTACAACAATTTCCCCGCCATGTTCCATGAAATAGATTAACACTATGAATATATGATTAATTTTCATACCGCCTACCCTGAATTCTCTTTCTTAAAGAAGGTTGATAGCAAAGAAAATCTTCGCCAACTCGGTAAGTCTAGCCGCCATTGTCTAAGGTTTTTGTGACTGTGGGCGGGGCTTCGCGTCCTTGTCGACATGTCAGTTATGACATAATTATTATTATAGTATGGATATTTAATTTGGAAGGTGTTTTCATTTGGGCATAATAATCAATTTGAAGTGACTTTCTTTAGGTTCAAATTTACCTGTTCTATGAGTGATGTATGTCTTGTATTACCACTAATCAACAAAGATTGATCGGGAGTCTGCCATGTCTTTTCACAGTTGTGCATCGTATTGCTTCTAGGTGTAAAATATACTAACCTAGAATTTCCTTGTCATACATGATTACATACAAGATTGTTCGAATCCCGACACGATGGCATGCATTTCGATACTTGGAGTATGTGTTATACTATCTTATCTGAGATTAATCAGTGGACCTTACGGTTTTTGTTTGACCTTTTGCACACAAACTGCAAAAAGGTAAAGCAAATTGTGCACTAATGAAAAATTAGTCAACAGTTGGGATAGAAAAATAACACTGACAATACAATCATGACATTGACTTCAGATTCAAATTCATATTCAAATTTATTTGTCCAGTATGAATATTATTTTGAAGATGTTTGCACCAGGAACTTTAACTGAAACCAAAACACCATTTCTAGTATGGGTATTTATTTATTACTGAATCATATTTATTTTTATATCAAGTTTGGTCTCGATCGGTGTTGTTATGATTCTTTTCATTATTTTCACTATCAATAAGTTTCTCTTGGTAAACAGTAACAGAAACAGGGAAACAAAACTAACCTATCTTACATTTAGATATTACTAAATTAGGTGAGTCGAATGGCTGAGTGGTTAAGGCAGGGGCCCGTAACCTGTAGCCATAATATCGGTGCTGGTTCGAATGGCACGCTCGCCTATGGCTCTGGAGGTGGAGCAAGTCTTCTCAGATAAAGTCTAAACTGTAGGCCCAGTGTACGCAATGGCTCATGTGCATTATAGAGAACCCCAGTACATCTTTTGAGACTAGTAAGGGGTTACCCCGGTGTAATGGTTCATCTCAAGCCCCTACCCTCATCCAGATGCCGAACAGGTGTTGATGAGTATCTACACAGACTTAGATTACTAGTACTTAGTGATTTTGTTTTTTTACTGTTATTTAGTGCACACATACATACCCATACACACAGTTTTAAATTTAATTGCTCCATTTAATACCTCTATATAATCAACCAGTTAAAGAACAGTTAAATTAAAGATATTGGTCAGGACTGGCTGAACTACTGACCACACCAGTATCACCACAATGATGCTGCAAGTTAGAGGTTAAGTCTTACGTTACAAACACATCTGAATTAACACACCAGAATTTTTTTTTTTGTCCGACTGCCCGACCAGCTTTGGCCGATGGGGAGGGTGCTTCACTAGACCGATGGGGGGGCTTAAGCTGCCACTGTCCACACTGTTATATGCCTATATATAGTCATGATGTGCTTATATATTGCTATGATATAATGTCATCATTACCATATTTAAGCAAGTTTTTGTCAAATAAAATTTAATAGTCTGGAGGAAGCTTCAATCACATTGCAAAAAGTAGGAGATTTCTAATCACAGTTGAGGCAATTTTGTATATACAGTATTGTGCAAATTTTCTCATTTATATTACATACTTTTCATGATACTTTGGTATTCTTTTTGGTCCTGTACCATTTTTCTGAAAACAGCATATTTCTGCTTGTAGAATGGAATGTTTGTTGTTATAGGCTTCACAACAGATCCTAACTTGCACATATTCCTCATAGCATCCTGGTGAGAAAATAGCATTAAAATCTTTGTCATAGATAAACTTATTAAATAAAAAACAATAAATAATTAAACAAACTAATTTTTTGATGATTTAGTGAATAATAAATTATATATGTTTAAACAAAAAGTGAATGAATAAGGAACATATAAATATAAACAACATATAAATATAAACATACAATATATATATATATATATATATATATACATATACATATACA